CCCACCCATAGCAGAGGACACACCCTGGACCTGCTTATCACGAAAGGGGTGAATATTTCAAAAGTTAATGTAGTTGATGTTGCTCTGTCGGATCATTTCTGTGTATTTGTATTGCTACCAGACCACCCGCTAAATATGAAATTGTTAGAAGTAGACACTTAAATGAAAACACGGGTGAACTATTTATGGGAATGATCCATTTTGAGAACACATCATGTTCTACTGTAGATGAACTGTTTAACTCTGTCACCTCTAGTGTGTTGAATGTTCTGGACGCCATTGCCCCTGTGAAGGTAAAAATGGTCACAAATAAGCAAAAAGCCCCATGGATAAAAGCAGGCCCGGTCAGGGCACAGAAGCAAGAGTGCCGGAGAGCAGAGAGAAAGTGGAGAAAGTCCAACCTCCAGGGTGATTATAAACTCTTAAAAGAGAAGTTGTGTGAGTTTAACAGAGTACTACGTAGAACAAGAGAATTATACTTTTCTGAAACTATTGAAGGCTGCAGCAACAATCTGCGTGTTCTATTTTCAACAATCAATAGATTAACGAACCCCCTGTTGAGTTGCCATTAGAACACTACTCCAAATCCAGGTGTAATGAGTTTGCACAGTTCTTCAGAGACAAGGTTCAGGGTATCAGAAATACCATCACCTCTACAACACAAGTAACAATGCAACATCCAGTGAGGCTTTGTGAGCTAGCTCAATTTGCACCTGTCAATGATGAAACTGTTAAAAAGATAATCACAGGTCTTAGTTCCTCTACCTGCAGTCTGGATGTACTACCTCCTAGATTTCTGAAGTCTGTTATGTGTAGTCTATTACCCTCATTGACACAAATAGTAAACATGTCTTTTTTATCTGGAACATTTCCAATGGCCCTGAAAAAGGCAGTCATCAGGCCCCTCCTAAAAAAGAGCAGTTTGGATGCTGCGGTACTTGAAAATTACCGTCCCATCTCAAATCTGCCTTTCATGGGAAAAATTCTTGAAAAAGTTGCCTACCAACAACTTACTGAATTTTTAATATCTAATGACTCATTTGACATTTTTCCAGTCTGGCTTTAGACCACACCACAGTACTGAGACCGCTCTAGTCAAGGTAACAAATGATATTCGGCTTAACACTGATGCAGGAAAAGTCTCTGTTTTAGTCATGTTAGATCTGAGTGCCGCTTTCGACACCGTTGACCATGAGATTCTCATGCAGAGACTGGAGGACTGGGTTGGTGTTGCTGGTACCGCCCTAAGCTGGTTTAGGTCCTATCTAGAAGAAAGGAAGTATTGTGTGGAGATTGGAGACTATGTCTCAGATAATATGGCCCTGACCTGCGGAGTGCCACAGGGGTCGATTCTGGGACCTCTCCTGTTCAATATTTACATGCTGCCATTAGGTCAGTTAATTCAAAGTATGAAAGTGTCCTACCACAATTACGCTGATGACACTCAGATCTATGTCTCACTGACTGCAGGAGAGCATGGACCGGTGGACTCACTCCTTCGCTGTATCCAGCGGATCAGTGAGTGGATGCAATGCAATTTTCTCCAGCTAAATGCGGACAAAACCGAAATGATTGTCTTTGGTCCCGAGAAACAAAGAGAGACCGTCATTTGTCACCTTCAGTCTCTCTCCCTAAGGCCTTTAAATAAGGTCAGAAATCTGGGAGTAATAATGGACTCTGACTTAAACTTCAATAGCCACATTGGATCGGTAACATCAGCAGCTTTTTATCATCTGAAAAATATTGCCAAAATTAAAAATATTGTGTCCAAAGCAGACTTGGAGATTCTTATCCATTCTTTTGTTTCCAGTAGGCTGGATTACTGCAATGGCCTGCTCACAGGTATCTCCAAACATGCAGTAAAACAGCTGCAGTATATTCAAAATGCTGCAGCCCGAGTCCTGACTAGAACCAGGAAGTACGACCACATTAGTCCGGTCCTCAGGTCTCTGCACTGGCTTCCCGTGGCCCACAGGATAGACTTTAAAGCAGCTCTCCTGGTGTACAAGTCTCTCCATGGCCTTGCACCAAAGTACATCCATGATATGCTAGTCCCATATGAACCAGCCCGGACTCTGAGGAGCGCAGGGACGGGACTCCTGTTAGTGCCCAGAGTCAGGACTAGACAGGGGGAGGCTGCTTTTCAGATTTATGCAGCTAAGGTCTGGAACAGTCTTCCTGAGGGTGTGAGACTGGCTGCCTCTCTGTCAATGTTCAAATCCATGTTAAAGACTTTTCTTTTTTCCTGTGCATACAACTAAAGAATTTTATCTTTTTAACACACCTTGTTATTTATTGTTGTAACTTTTTGTGTTTTTAACTATTTTATTGTTTTTAATTACTTGTGTGATTCTTATGTTTTTAAATTACTTATGTGATTTTAATGCTTTTTAATTACATATGTGTTTTTAATTGTATTTTAATGGTGATGATTTGTGCATTGTGTGGTGTGGACTGTGAGGCGCTTTGTGTTGCCCTGTGCAGGAAAAGCGCCCTATAAATAAAGATTGATTGATTGATTGATATGTTTTTGATCCTGGCAATGTTTTTTAGATGGTAAAATGCTGCTGATGTTACTGATTTGATGTGGCTATTAAAATTTAAGTCTGAGTCCAGTATTACCCCTAGATTTCTGACCTTGTTTGAAGGTTTTAGGGAGAGAGACTGTAGGTGACAGATGACGCTCTCTCTTTGTTTCTGGGGACCAAAGACAATCATTTCAGTTTTGTCTGCGTTTAGCTGAAGGAAGTTGTTTTGCATCCACTCACTGATCTGTTGGATACAGTGAAGGAGTGAGTCCACTGGTCCATGTTCTCCTGCAGTCAGTGAGACATAGATCTGAGTGTCGTCTGCATAGTTATGATAGGAAACTTCGTTTCTGCGTATTAACTGACCTAACGGCAGCATGTAGAGATTGAACAGAAGAGGTCCCAGAATCGACCCCTGTGGGACTCCACAGGTCAGGGCCATATAATCTGAGACACAGTCTCCAATCTCCACAAAGTACTTCCTGTCTTCAAGGTAAGACCCAAACCAACTTAGGGCGGTGCCAGTGACGCCAACCCAGTCCTCTAGTCTCTGTAAGAGGATCTCATGGTCGACGGTGTCAAAGGCAGCACTTAGATCTAACAAGATTAAGATTGAGACTTTGCCTGCGTCAGTGTTCAGCCGGATATCGTTTGTAACCTTAACGAGAGCAGTCTCAGTGCTATGGTGGGGTCTAAAGCCGGACTGAAACATATCAAATGAGTTGTTGATTATAAGAAATCTAGTAAGCTGTAGGTAGACAACTTTCTCAAGGACTTTCCCCATAAATGGCAGATTTGAGATGGGACGATAGTTGTTAAGTACCGTAGCATCGAGACTGCTCTTTTTTAGCAGGGGCCTGATGACTGCAGTTTTCAGGGCCTTTGGGAATATTCCAGAATGAAGGGACATCTGTGTGAGTGAAGGTAACAGACTGCTCAGAACAGACTTCAGAAATCTAGTGGGTAGTACATCCAAGCTGCATGTGGAGGAGCTCAAACTGGAGATTATCTCTTGGACAGTTTTATCATTTACAGGTGCAAAGTGAGTTAGCTCAGAGAGCCTTTCTGGCTGTTGGATGGTTATCTGTGGATTGGAGACAATGGCGTTTTTGATGCCTTGAACCTTGTCATTGAAAAAATGAGCAAACTCATTGCATTTATGTTTGGAAGTAAGCTCTAATGGCATTTGAACAGGAGGGTTTGTTAATCTATTAACTGTTGAGATCAGAACACGCAGATTGTTGCTGCAGCCTTCAATCATTTCAGAAAAATACCTTTCTCTCGTACTACGTAGCACCCGGTTAAACTCGCACAACTTATCTTTGAAGATCTTGTAATCAACCTGGAGGTTGGACTTGCGCCACTTCCGCTCGGCCCTCCGGCACTTTCTCTTTTGTGTCCTGACCGAGTCTGCTTTAGCCCACGGCGCCTTCTGCTTATTTTTCACTATTTTAACCTTCACAGGGGCAACGGTATCCAGAACATTCAAAACACTAGAGGTGACAGAGTTTAACAGTTCATCTACAGTAGAATACGATGCATTCTCAAAGTTTATCATTCCCATAAATAGTTCACTCGTATTTTCATTTATGCGCCTTCTTCGAACAGTTGCAGAGTCCACTGGTGGTTTGTTAGTGAAACACATGTCAAAAAAAACACAGAAATGATCCGAAAGAGCAACATCGACCACGTTTACATTTGAAATATTCACCCCCTTAGTAACTAACAGATCTAGAGTGTGCCCTCTGCTGTGGGTGGGGCCACTTACGTGCTGAGTGAGATCAAAGGATTCAAGTACAGAACTCAGCTCATTTGCATTTCTGTCATTCATCCACATGAATATTAAAATCACCTGTAATAACCAAACTATCAAAATCTGTGCATACAACTGAAAGCAACTCGGTAAAATTATCAATAAAACTGTGAGGTCAAAGACTATAGTTGTGCTGACTTTGTGTTTGCTCAAATCCTGAGCTTTGTAAATGATTGATGAGCAGAGCGAACCTGGCGAGTGTCTCTGCACTGTAAACCCTGACAAGTAAAGTTTACTTGGAAATAAATTGCATATTAACTTCACTTGAATTCCTCGAGTACATCCTTTACTTGATATCACCAAGTCAACTCAAGTGATTGCGATAAAGTTTGAATTTCAACTTATGCTCCGACCGAGATTCGTACTCACAACCCTGTAGTTGAGATGTGAAGGTGCTACCCACTCAGCCACTGGGCAACACTACCATTATCACACCTGTCTTGTTTAAGACTCTACACGTCAAAACGTCAAAAGTGAGGCTTACATGAACAGAGAGAGTTCAATTCAAAGAAAACCCTGAATGATATAGCCAGGCTTTAAATAAACTAACAATAAATGAGTAATATTCACTTACTGGGAAAAATCTATTTAAAATAACTTTGATATCTGAAGTACGATTGAAGTTAGGGTTTACAGTGTGGGCCCGTGTGGAGACGAAGATGCCGCTGCGATGGTGGGACTGCCTGATGCCCTCCCTGCTGCTCTGGGCCCCGGTGGCTCTGATCGTGGTGAGTCGGCCTGTGCTCGGTGCTTGGACGGGACGGGCCCTCACGGCGGTGGGGTGGACCCTGTGGAGAGGCCTCTGTGTCCTGCTGCACTTACCCCTGCAGAAGACCCCCCCACAGACCTCCTCCTCTGGGACTGAGCTCCTGTTTAAACCTAGTTCTCTGGCCCAGCACCTGCTGCGTCACTGCGGGGCTCTGTCCAGGACCAGACTGGCCCCGTGGCCCCGAGGAGACCCCCACCTCCAGACCGTCCAGAGTCTGTGTGGACTGTCTACCCCTGCACTGCAAAAAAGGATAACCTTTAAGGTAATAAATGCTGGAAGTTTTTTTATCTTAAATTGAGTAAATGCTGACCGCCAATTGGTCAAAGCTATTCAGGCACGGTGGCGCTGCGGTAAGAGCTTGTGTCTCACAGCAAGTAGGTCCTGGGTTCGATTCCACCCCAAGGCTTTTCTGTGTGGAGTTTGCATGTTCTCCCCGTGTCTGTGTAGGTTTCCTCCAGGTGCTCCGGTTTCTAGCCTGGCTCTGCCAGACCCTTGTAGTTCCGCCATGCTCCACCAGAGGCGTTTGGCTGAACCACATGGGTCTGGTATGGTCTGCACTAGATCATATACGGAATCGGGACAAAACCGGAAGTAACACTCGTATTTTCGAATTCGTTTTAGACTAATGAGTCCTTAAGTGGTGACTGGTCAAGTTTTTGGCGTCTGAGTAAGATGGTTAAGGTTAGGGTTAAGGCTGGGTTGGGGTTATTTTATGGGAATGGCTGGTTAAGTTTAGGCATGAATAGGTACTTTGTTATATTTACTTCCGCTTCCGTCCTGATTCCGTATATGATCTAGTGCTGACCGGTCTGGTATCGACGCCATAGCAAACGCCTTCCCCAGATAATTTTTTAATCGACCAATCAGGATTGCCGGTGTTACGTGGGGTTTGCCCTGCCTTCTCAAGCTTCTCTCATGCAGCAGAGAGAGGAATCCAAGATGGCGGACGTAAAGCCCGCAAATCTTTTTAAAAGAGTAAATACGATCGAATTAAGACACGGAGGTCACTTTTAATGCAATTTGAGGCGAGATGTAGATGGTTCTATGTTGATATATGTGTGTTTTAAGAGTCAAATGTTCCTGTAAAGTTTGGTTGAAGCACTGGTTCAGTGTTCCTGTTTACACACTATGCAGCAAGGGTTGCCAGGTTTGGTCGTTCCCACATATTTTTTTCCAAGAGACTTGTAGGTATTAGATAAACATAAAGACAATAAATAGAATCATGATAGTCCAAGTTGATTACATTACGTTTTTAGCCAAAAAATCACTAGTTTTAGCACTTTAGTAAAAGCGAGTAACGGCAAATAATGTATAACTTATTTACATTTTTTTTTAAATTGGAGGAAAACGCAACATTTCGGGGGAATTTTCTCAGAATTTGATTGGTTTGAATGCGAGCAGTCGTTTCAGTTTGTCAAGATTTCCGTCAAAACACATAGGATGGACTGTGAAACATAAGAAAACGTAAATGAACCTTTAAAAGCAAAGTATGGTTGTAATTGAATAAAAAACATGTATGAGTCAAATGCCCTGTTATGTACAACCAGTTTTTTAAAAGCTTAGGAATCATTATTATTCAGATTAGTTTTTTGTTGTGAGTGACGAGAAAAGGGTGTGGTTTGAAATCAAAATGGTATATTTTCTTGAAAAAACTCTGGCGCCTAAAGGGTTAACCAGCCATTCCCATAAAATAACCCCAACCCAGCCTTAACCCTAACCTTAACCATCTTACTCAGACGCCTAAAACTTAACCAGTCACCACTTAAGGACTCATTAGTCTAAAACAAATTCGAAAATATGAGTGTTACTTCCGGTTTCGTCCCGATTCCGTTTATGATCTAGTGCCGACCATACCAGACCCATGTGGTTCAGCCAAACGCCTCTGGTGGAGCATGGCGGAACTACAAGGGTCTGGCAGAGCCAAGCTAGAAACCGGAGCACCTGGAGGAAACCTACACAGACAAGGGGAGAACATGCAAACTCCACACTGAAAAGCCTTGGGGTGGAATCGAACCCAGGACCTACTTGCTGTGAGACACAAGCTCTTACCGCAGCGCCACCGTGCCTGAATAGCTTTGACCAATTGGCGGTCAGCATTTACTCAACTTAAGATAAAAAAACTTCCAGCATTTATTACCTTAAAGGTTATCCTTTTTTGCAGTGCAGGGGTAGACAGTCCACACAGACTCTGGACGGTCTGGAGGTGGGGGTCTCCTCGGGGCCACGGGGCCAGTCTGGTCCTGGACAGAGCCCCGCAGTGACGCAGCAGGTGCTGGGCCAGAGAACTAGGTTTAAACAGGAGCTCAGTCCCAGAGGAGGAGGTCTGTGGGGGGGTCTTCTGCAGGGGTAAGTGCAGCAGGACACAGAGGCCTCTCCACAGGGTCCACCCCACCGCCGTGAGGGCCCGTCCAAGCACCGAGCACAGGCCGACTCACCACGATCAGAGCCACCGGGGCCCAGAGCAGCAGGGAGGGCATCAGGCAGTCCCACCATCGCAGCGGCATCTTCGTCTCCACACGGGCCCACACTGTAAACCCTAACTTCAATCGTACTTCAGTTATCAAAGTTATTTTAAATAGATTTTTCCCAGTAAGTGAATATTACTCATTTATTGTTAGTTTATTTAAAGCCTGGCTATATCATTCAGGGTTTTCTTTGAATTGAACTCTCTCTGTTCATGTAAGCCTCACTTTTGACGTTTTGACGTGTAGAGTCTTAAACAAGACAGGTGTGATAATGGTAGGGTCGCCCAGTGGCTGAGTGGGTAGCACCTTCACATCTCAACTACAGGGTTGTGAGTACGAATCTCGGTCGGAGCATAAGTTGAAATTCAAACTTTATTGCAATCACTTGAGTTTACTTGGTGATATCAAGTAAAGGATGTACTCGAGGAATTCAAGTTAATATGCAATTTATTTCCAAGTAAACTTTACTTGTCAGGGTTTACAGTGCAGAGACACTCGCCAGGTTCGCTCTGCTCATCAATCATTTACAAAGTTCAGGATTTGAGCAAACACAAAGTCAACACAACTATAGTCTTTGACCTCTGTATGGAAATGTCTCACAACAACCTGCAAATGACATCAGGCGGAGAGAGCTACCTCACAACAAGAAGGTCCTGCACTGCAAAAAAGGAAGATAAATAAGTCCAAAATTGCTTGAATTTGGCAAAAAATGTTTCTTAATTTGAGCATTGTGACCACCTTTAAACAAGATTTTCCAATGGGACAAAGCAAAGTTATCTTATTTCGAAAAGATTCAATAAATATCGCTCTTGGAATGAGAAAATAAAGCAACAGTTTTGGCTTTGTTCCATTGGAGAATCTTGTTTTAAGTCAGAATGTGCTCAGATTAAGCTAAAAACAACTCAATTCAAGCATTTATTACCTCATATTTTATTCTTCTTCGCAATGTACAAAGATTTAAGGTCCCCATGAAGAGAATTGCTGTATGGATGCATTTGTTGAAAGATCAAGGCTATGCTCACAGTCAGAGAGCAGCCGTCCTCCTGTGGACTCACCACCTGCAGAGGGTCAGTGAGGGGCTGGTGCTATGAGACTTGGGTGGTCTCTCTGACTGCCACCCCCCTGACCCAGAAATGGATTAAAGGGTAGAAAATGGATGGATGGATGGATGGATGCATTTGTGTGTGTGTTTTTTTTATATCTTTAAACAACAAAATTATGTATCATTTTGCTTTCACTTCAGTTTGTCTGTTGTGGACTTTCAATAAAATCCAAAATGTGGTTGTAGACATAAAAACATCACAGAGCCGGAGTCACTGGGTTCAATCATGATCTCTTCAAATCAGTTTCTGCAGGTGATTTTAGATTCGTAATGTCTTTGTAAGCATGCCTTATTTTATTTTTACTTTCATAACTTGTTTGCACCAAGAGCCAAATGAATGTCCGAGTTTGTGTCTTCCTCTTTCTTGTAATGGCAATACAAATAAATCTGATTCTGCTGAGACACAGTAACTCACAGGAAGATTTTATTATATCAAAGAATCCATCTCTACAAAAACAACGACAGCACAATCATGGTTGTTTTGTCTGCAGAGTGTTGAGTGACGCACCTTCACCACGGACTGAAATAAATGTGGAATTTGAGCTCTGCATTCTTTGGGTGTTACAGAATGTACCCAACACTTCCTTAACTTTAACAGCAAACATAATCTATTATTAGTGTTCATGTCTTCGGAAATCTTGACAAACTGAAACGACTGCTCGCATTCAAACCAATCAAATTCTGAGAAAATTCCCCCGAAATGTTGCGTTTTCCTCCAATTTAAAAAAAAATGTAAATAAGTTATACATTATTTGCCGTTACTCGCTTTTACTAAAGTGCTAAAAGTAGTGATTTTTTGGCTAAAAACGTAATGTAATCAACTTGGACTATCATGATTCTATTTATTGTCTTTCTGTTTATCTAATACCTACAAGTCTCTTGGAAAAAAATATGTGGGAACGACCAAACCTGGCAACCCTTGCTGCATAGTGTGTAAACAGGAACACTGAACCAGTGCTTCAACCAAACTTTACAGGAACAATTGACTCTTAAAACACACATATATCAACATAGAACCATCTACATCTCGCCTCAAATTGCATTAAAAGTGACCTCCGTGTCTTAATTCGATCGTATTTACTCTTTTAAAAAGATTTGCGGGCTTTACGTCCGCCATCTTGGATTCCTCTCTCTGCTGCATGAGAGAAGCTTGAGAAGGCAGGGCAAACCCCACGTAACACCGGCAATCCTGATTGGTCGATTAAAAAATAATCTGGGGAAGGCGTTTGCTATGGCGTCGATACCAGACCGGTCAGCACTAGATCATATACGGAATCAGGACGGAAGCGGAAGTAAATATAACAAAGTACCTATTCATGCCTAAACTTAACCAGCCATTCCCATAAAATAACCCCAACCCAGCCTTAACCCTAACCTTAACCATCTTACTCAGACGCCAAAAACTTAACCAGTCACCACTTAAGGACTCATTAGTCTAAAACGAATTCGAAAATATGAGTGTTACTTCCGGTTTCGTCCCGATTCCGTATATGATCTAGTGCCGACCATACCAGACCCATGTGGTTCAGCCAAACGCCTCTGGTGGAGCATGGCGGAACTACAAGGGTCTGGCAGAGCCAGGCTAGAAACCGGAGCACCTGGAGGAAACCTACACAAACACGGGGAGAACATGCAAACTCCACACAGAAAAGCCTTGGGGTGGAATCGAACCCAGGACCTACTTGCTGTGAGACACAAGCTCTTACCGCAGCACCACCGTGCCTGAATAGCTTTGACCAATTGGCGGTCAGCATTTACTCAATTTAAGATAAAAAAACTTTCAGCATTTATTACCTTAAAGGTTATCCTTTTTTGCAGTGCAGGGGTAGACAGTCCACACAGACTCTGGACGGTCTGGAGGTGGGGGTCTCCTCAGGGCCACGGGGCCAGTCTGGTCCTGGACAGAGCCCCGCAGTGACGCAGCAGGTGCTGGGCCAGAGAACTAGGTTTAAACAGGAGCTCAGTCCCAGAGGAGGAGGTCTGTGGGGGGGTCTTCTGCAGGGGTAAGTGCAGCAGGACACAGAGGCCTCTCCACAGGGTCCACCCCACCGCCGTGAGGGCCCGTCCAAGCACCGAGCACAGGCCGACTCACCACGATCAGAGCCACCGGGGCCCAGAGCAGCAGGGAGGGCATCAGGCAGTCCCACCATCGCAGCGGCATCTTCGTCTCCACACGGGCCCACACTGTAAACCCTAACTTCAATCGTACTTCAGTTATCAAAGTTATTTTAAATAGATTTTTCCCAGTAAGTGAATATTACTCATTTATTGTTAGTTTATTTAAAGCCTGGCTATATCATTCAGGGTTTTCTTTGAATTGAACTCTCTCTGTTCATGTAAGCCTCACTTTTGACGTTTTGACGTGTAGAGTCTTAAACAAGACAGGTGTGATAATGGTAGTGTCGCCCGGTGGCTGAGTGGGTAGCTCCTTCACTACAGGGTTGTGAGTACGAATCTCGGTCGGAGCATAAGTTGAAATTCAAACTTTATCGCAATCACTTGAGTTTACTTGGTGATATCAAGTAAAGGATGTACTCGAGGAATTCAAGTGAAGTTAATATGCAATTTAATTCCAAGTAAACTTTACTTGTCAGGGTTTACAGTGCAGAGACACTCGCCAGGTTCGCTCTGCTCATCAATCATTTACAAAGTTCAGGATTTGAGCAAACACAAAGTCAGCACAACTATAGTCTTTGACCTCTGTATGGAAATGTCTCACAACAACCTGCAAATGACATCAGGCGGAGAGAGCTACCTCACAACAAGAAGGTCCTGCACTGCAAAAAAGGAAGATAAATAAGTCCAAAATTGCTTGAATTTGGCAAAAAATGTTTCTTAATTTGAGCATTGTGACCACCTTTAAACAAGATTTTCCAATGGGACAAAGCAAAGTTATCTTATTTCGAAAAGTTTCAATAAATATCGCTCTTGGAATGAGAAAATAAAGCAACAGTTTTGGCTTTGTTCCATTGGAGAATCTTGTTTTAAGTCAGAATGTGCTCAGATTAAGCTAAAAACAACTCAATTCAAGCATTTATTACCTCATATTTTATTCTTCTTCGCAATGTACAAAGATTTAAGGTCCCCATGAAGAGAATTGCTGTATGGATGCATTTGTTGAAAGATCAAGGCTATGCTCACAGTCAGAGAGCAGCCGTCCTCCTGTGGACTCACCACCGCAGAGGGTCAGTGAGGGGCTGGTGCTATGAGACTTGGGTGGTCTCTCTGACTGCCACCCCCCTGACCCAGAAATGGATTAAAGGGTAGAAAATGGATGGATGGATGGATGGATGCATTTGTGTGTTGTTTTTTTTATATCTTTAAACAACAAAATTATGTATCATTTTGCTTTCACTTCAGTTTGTCTGTTGTGGACTTTCAATAAAATCCAAAATGTGGTTGTAGACATAAAAACATCACAGAGCCGGAGTCACTGGGTTCAATCATGATCTCTTCAAATCAGTTTCTGCAGGTGATTTTAGATTCGTAATGTCTTTGTAAGCATGCCTTATTTTATTTTTACTTTCATAACTTGTTTGCACCAAGAGCCAAATGAATGTCCGAGTTTGTGTCTTCCTCTTTCCCGTAATGGAAATACAAATAAATCTGATTCTGCTGAGACACAGTAACTCACAGGAAGATTTTATTATATCAAAGAATCCATCTCTACAAAAACAACGACAGCACAATCATGGTTGTTTTGTCTGCAGAGTGTTGAGTGACGCACCTTCACCACGGACTGAAATAAATGTGGAATTTGAGCTCTGCATTCTTTGGGTGTTACAGAATGTAGCCAACACTTCCTTAACTTTAACAGCAAACATAATCTATTATTAGTGTTCATGTCTTCAGAAATCTTGACAAACTGAAACGACTGCTCCCATTCAAACCAATCAAATTCTGAGAAAATTCCCCCAAAATGTTGTGTTTTCCTCCAGTTTTTTAAAAATGTAAATAAGTTATACATTATTTGCCGTTACTCGCTTTTACTAAAGTTCTGAAAAAACTAGTGATTTTTTTCTTAAATACAGCAAAATACTTTTTTAAAGGCTAATGCTAAAGACCAAATGCTAACTGATGCAAGCATACATTGTGTTGCTATGGTAACTAGCACTCTCCCGAACCAGCACCTTGCGGACCTAGAAAGTTGTTACCAAGCGAACAAAAAGGTCAATGTATTTTTTCTACAACACGAATGGAGCCGTCAAAAACTGAGATACAATTTTATACATTTCGCAATTAAGTAAACTACAATTAATAAACTACATATGGATACAGAAAACGTCAAAAAAAGTCAGAATCTTTAATGTAAATACGCTGAGTAAAGCCGTCAAATTGACTGCTCTGAGAGTTCTAGTACTAAACATGAGATGGGAGAAAACTTACTTTGATAGTATTAGAATGGGAAAAATAAGTTTAAGTAAGTAAGTAAGTAATCTTTTTTCATATAGCAGAGTCACTAAGCGATTGTTGTTATTTTTGGGCATTTGTCTTTCTCTCCACACAGAGATGGGAGCGGGGTCAGTACAGGAGGCACATGCCAGAACTATTGTACATGTTTTTAGTGGTAGGGGAAACCGGAGTACCTGGACAAAACTGACACAGGGAGAACATGCAAACTCCACTCAGTAAGGACCTGTTCCGACCGGGATTCGAACCCAGGACCTACTTGCTGAAAATTGAGAAGTGTGACAAACACAAAACAAAAATCAAGCGTTTCCCTTTGCAGCCTGGGTCTTTGCTGGTGATCGACGAGCAGGTGAGTTCATGAATTCAACGTCCAAACTTACAGATTTGGTTTGTGTTGATTTATATGGTCCTTGGTTTGAATCCCGGCCGGACAAGGGCCTTTCTGAGTGGAGTTTGCATGTTCTCCCCGTGTCTGCGTAGGTTTCCTCCGGGTACTCCGGTTTCCCCTACCACTAAAAATATGTACAATAGGTCTGGCATGCGCCTCCTGTACTGGCCCCGCTCCCATCTCTGTGTGGAGTGAGGGGACAAGTGCCCAAAAATAACAATTGTAAACCGCTTTGTGACTCTGGTCTGTGAAAGGCGGTATATAAATAAAGCTTACTTACTTACTTACTTGATTTCATGATCTGTAGATAGTGGCCAGTAGCAGTAATAATAATAATAATAATAATAATAATGAATTGGTTTTATTATACAGTGCTTTTTTGGACACTCAAAGCTGCCCTGGGGCACACTGACAGAAGCGAGGCAACCAGTATCTGCCATAGGCCCCTCCGACCACCACCGACCATTCACACACACACCAGACTCATTCTACAGTTTGATACTGTCGTCTAATCATGCAGCTACAATATATTCTGCCTACATGAATAATAGTAGTAACAGTAAGTAATAGTCATAACAAAAATATGAATAAAGCAATCTTGGTCTTGAGTCTTTCCTTAACTGAAATTATAACTTTATTACTACTATTATAAACTATTACTATTTAACAGATTTATGGGTAAAGACAAAAAAAAACTATGTTATAGCAGTTTGAGTTCTAACCTGCACAGATTTGTATGATTGATGTTTGATCATGTGTTTGTGTTTTTTATGTAAACAGGAGAGATATTTTTCCTGAGAATTGTCCGACCGGTTGTACCAGCATCTTTGAATGACGCATTTGGCTCGATCCAGAATTGAAATACTGTCTTTTACAGCTGGCCGTGCCTCAAACAATACAGTAGGTAATATTTCAACACCAACATAATTTAAGCAGTGTGACTTTAGCTCCAGGACTGAACTCTCTGGTGTGGCCTCTGATTCCTCTGCTCCACACCCACAGTTCAATTCTGCTGTTGTGTCTCTGCCGTCTGTTCTAATGTCTGTTCTCCTCCTCTGCTGTCTGTTCTCCTCCTCTGCTGTTTGTTCTGCTGTCTGTTCTGCTGTCTGTTCTGCTGTCTGTTCTGCTGTCTGTTCTCCTCCTCTGCCGTCTGTTCTGCTGTCTGTTCTGCTGTCTGTTCTCCTCCTCTGCTGTCTGTTCTGCTGTCTGTCCTCCTCCTCAAACATTAGGGCTGTACTGGTCTTTCCCACTGGGGTGCCATGACGTGTGGACTGGTTGTATTGAGTTTGGTCCTGGTGGTGACTGGGGTGAGAGGATTCAGTCTGGATCATGACGGAGCCTCTCAGAGTCACTGGGAGATCACAGAAGAAGCCGTGTTAAGAGCGACCGCCGAGGCCTGCCGCGCTGAGGCCCGAGAGGAGGGCCGCATCTTCACCCTCCCGGTAAGAACACAGGAACATCTAGACTATTTAACAACCACCAGAAGTATCATGATGAGTGTTGAGAATGTAGAGAAGAGAATACATGGAGTTGGGCGATGAGGGGGAAATATTGACATTAGATCCATTGCTGCAGCTGCCCCCACTCTCTGAAACTCACTCCAACCTCACATTAGCAACTCTGACTCACTACAGAACTTCAAATCACTTCTCAAAACCCACCTGCTCAAAACTGCCCACACTTAACTGTTCATTTTTAGATTTTTTTTCTTTCTTACCTAACTTTTTATCCCATCTATTCAGTTTAATAATAATGCATCGTCTGTACAGCGCTTTTCAGGACACTCGAAGAAATGTCATGTTATTATTCATTTACTCCATACACAGTGGTGATAAACTAATACTGTAACCACAGCTGTCCTGGGGCACTCTGACAGAAGCCACAAAACCAGTCTGTGCCAGCGGGCCCTCAGACCACCACCATTCATTCACTCACAAACCAGACTCATTCTAGGCAATGGGGGTGAAGTGTCTTGCCAAAGGGACACTGTGAAACCTGGTGTTCCCAGATGTCTTCCATCACAGTAATAACCAGGCACTGTCCTGCTTAGCTCTGACAGGATCTTGCTTTCACATGCAGATGGCAGCTTTTTCTTTTGCGTTATCCGCTTCCGATAAAGCCTTACTTCATTAGAATATGCATTAAACTGAAAAGGAAAGGAAGAGACACGTGCCTTCTGTCCCATTCTTTCTCCAAAACAGTTTATTTTCTTTGTGTAATTTTCTTTTTATTGTCTCATTTTTTTTTAATCACATTTCGGCCACATTTTCATCACATTGTCGTCACATTTTTGTCACGTTATAGTCACATTTTTGTCACATTACGGTCCTATCTTTATCACATTTTTGTCACATTGTCGTCACATTTTTGTCACGTTATGGTCACATCTTTGTCACGTTATTGTCACCTTATCGTCCTATTATGGTCACATCTTTGTCAAATTTTTTGTTACATTGTCGTCACATTTTTGTCACTTTATCGTCACATTTTTTGTTACATTGTCGCCACATTTGTCACTTTATCATCAAATTTTTTGTTACATTGTCGACACATTTTTGTCACTTTATCGTCACATTTTTTGTTACATTGTCGTCACATTTTTGTCACTTTATCGTCACATTGTCGTCATATTATGGCCACATTTGTCACTTTTTCATCTCGTTTTTATCACTCTTATTTTTTTCCTTTCCCCCGTGTGTACCTACACCCAGTAAAACAAGAGAAAAACAAGGACCAAGAATAAAAAATAAGATAAAACACGAACGTAGTATAATAATAATAATAATATAATATAATAATAATAAGAAACAATCAAAAAAGATAAAAAAAGAAAATAAACTTTTTGTGGGGTGATTACATTTCCATTGTCTCCAACATTGAGGGTCGCCACAGGTCCTCAAATTCTTTCATTTTGTTCTTTAACCTTGCAGTTACTTTTTCCATATTTAACACATCTTTCATTCTGTCCCACCATTGCTTTGCACGAGGTGGTTGTGGTTCAAGCCAGCAGACTGTAATAATTTTTTTTGCTATTATAATTAACATCCTAATAATCTTCCTTATTTTTATAGGAATATTTTGGGGGATAATACCCAACAAAAACAGTTGTACGTCTAAATCAATTTTTACATTAACGATTCTTTCTATCTGTTTTTTTACATTTTCCCAGTATTCTTTGAGTTTAGGGCAGTCCCAGAATATGTGTGTATAGTCTCCTACTTGGCCACAACCCCTCCAGCACTTATCAGACATTTTACTGTATTTTGAAATATGCAATGGTACCAGGAAATATCGCATTTTTACTTTCCATTCAAACTCTTTCCATAGCATACTACAAAACATTTGATGTCCTCCTTTGAATGATTCCTCCCAATTTTCATTTGAAATTACGATATTTCTTTCAGTTTCCCATCTATACTTGGTGTCCACATTATTGTCTTGTTCAGCCTGCAGGGCTTTATAGAACTTTGAAATTATCTTTTTATTCTCTAACTTAGTCATCAGTAATTTCTCTATTCCATTTTCTTGTTTACATATATACTCCCATTCTTTATGTTTTCTAAGGTAGTTTCTTATTTGTAAAAATTTGTAAAATTCATGTGTTGATAGATTAAATTCGTCTTTAAGCTGCTGAAATGATTTCATATTTTCCCCTTCAAACAGCTGCCCAATATGGACAAGTCCCTTGGATTCCCACTTTTGAAATCCCATCTCCATATTTGAGGGTATAAAATCACAATTTTTTCCTATTCTAGTGGCCCTGCAGATTGAACTAGACATTTCCGTTTTCTTTTTTATCCCCATCCATATTTCCATTGTTCCTTTAACCCATTCATTTTTTTTTTTCAACTGTTTTAGATTTTGCTTTCTAATGAAGGGTAGGCTTTGTAATTCTACTTTTGGGCATGAATTTTGTTCCATTTCCCTCCATCCCGTCTCTTCCTCATTATTTATCCAGATATTTATGATTCTTAAATGTGCTGCCCAATAATATCTTTTAATATTAGGCAAATTCAAACCTCCTTTTTCTTTGGAGCATTGTAGTAATGTATATCTTACTCGTGGCTTTTTATTTCCCCAAATAAATTTTGAGATCATATGATCAATTCTTTTAAATATTGTTTTTGGGAGCTGGATGGGTAGGGATTGGAACAAAAACAGCAACCTTGGCAGAACATTCATCCGTATTACTTCTATTCTTCCCATTATTGTCAAGGGCAAAATTTCCCATCTCACTAAATCTTCTTTAATCTCCTTGAATAATTTCTCATAGTTAGCTGTAAATAGATTTGATAACTTTTGTGTAATAGTAATGCCAAGGTATCTAAAGCCCTCATCCGTCCATTTGAATGTAGTCTTTTTTTTTTATTCTTCTGGACATTTTCCAGATATGATCATTGCAACCGATTTAGATTCATTGTTCAAGTATCCGGAGATTTCCCCAAACTCTCTTAAAATGTTATTCAGGATGGGTACAGTCTCAACAGGGTTACTTATATACATGAGGATATCATCTGCGAATAATGATATTTTTGACTCCACATTACCTTCATCTACGATACCCTTTATATCTGGACTTTGCCTAATATATTCAGCGAGCGGTTCTATACTTAAAGCAAATAATAAAGGGCTTAAACAATCTCCCTGCTTTACTCCTCTCTTCAGAAAGAAAAAGTCGGAGCAGCATCCATTTACTCTAATCCTGGATTTTGTATCTTTATAAACAAATTTAACCCAATTAATGAATGTTGAATGGAACCCAAACACTGATAATGTGTGATATAGATATGTCCATTTCACACAATCAAATGCTTTTTGTGCATCTAAGCTTAATAACATGTTTGTATTTGTGTTCCTTCTTGCACTGGACATAAGATTTAAAGTTCGCCTAATATTATTAGCGCCCTGTCGTCCCGGTATGAATCCTGTCTGATCGGGTTTAATCAACCTTGTTATGTATTTCTGTATTCTTTTTGCCATTATACTTGTTAAAATCTTCAAATCATTACATAGCAGGCTAACAGGGCGGTAGCTTTCACACAAAGTAGAGTCTTTGCCTTCCTTATGCAAGACAGAAATGACAGCTTCTGACCATGATGTTGGAATGTTCCCTGATTCCAAGGCATAATTAAACACTTTCTTTAGTAGTGGGGCTATTTCTTCCTGAAAACATTTATAGAATTCTCCCGGAAATCCGTCCGTACCTGGACTTTTGTTGTTTTTCACATTTTTAATTGTATCAAATATTTCCTTGAGAGAAATTTGTTCTGTCATTTCCAGCGCTTGCTCTGGAGTCAGTGCTGGTAGGTTAAATTTGTTCATAAACTGTTGCATCTTTTCTTCCAAGGATGGTATTTCTTGGTCATTATATAGCTCTTCATAATATTCTGCAAATATTTTTGCAACCTATTTTGGTTTAACCTTAATCTCCTTAGAAGTAGGATGCCGTATCTTCGTTATTGCCTGGTCCAACTGTTTCTTTCTGAGTTGATATGCTAGTAACTTACTTGCTCGATTACCCTTTTCATAATAATTTTGATTAACAAATCTTAACGCCGCTTCTACTTTAAAAGTCAATAACTGATCTAATTTGGATCTAATTTCTTTAAGTTCTAATAAAGTACCGTGATTTAGCGTTTTTTTATGCTCATTTTCCAATTTTCTAATTTTCTTCTCCAACTCTTGTTGCTGATGCTCTCGATTTTTTTTTATCCTAGATGTTATCTCTATCATTTTCCCTCTTAATACTGCTTTCCCACATTCCCATAACGTTGTAGGGTTAACTTCTCCGTTATCATTAATCTCAATGTATTGCTGTATACAATGTTTTATTTCCTGAACTACCGTCTCATCTGTCAAAACAGATACATTACATCTCCAGTACTTGAAAAACGACTCAAAACAGTTTAAAAGAAAGAACAAGTGCTCTTCAGCCCCATGATTGGCTTAAGATTTGAAGGCAAATGTTGATAATCGACACATGTTGAAATCACTATCTTTCAAAGCTGTGGACAATTCAAGTCAATTCACATTAATTTTGTTTAGCCCTAAATCACAGCAGCAACCGTCCAGGGAGGACTTTACAAAGTTATCAATTCATGACAGATCAGGGAATAAAAAAACATAAGACATAGATGCCTAAATATGTTTTACCTAAATAGCATCTCATGTAAACAACTTTATACAGTGTTTTCCTTTCCCCACAGGCCACACTGACGCCACAGTCGCTCCTTGAGGCATGTGAGGCTAAACAATCAGCCGGGGACTTTGCCAAAAACAAATTTCAAATCAAGAGTTCGAACGCATTAGTCAACATCGATTACGCCCTCGTCCCCAGTCGCCATTTTGACAACGAAGAGTTTGAACAAGGAAAGAAGATCATCACAGACGGATTACTCACCGTTAAAGTCAACATCAAGAACGAAAACTACGGTGCAGCAAGAAGAGGACTTGGAGAAATCCTGCACACGATACAGGTGAGAAAGGGTCGGCACAAGTTCATTTACGGAATCGGGACGGAAGCAGAAGCAACAATCCTACTTTCAAATTAGTTTTAGACTAATAAGTCCTTAAGTGGCGACTGGTTAACTTTTAGGTGTCTGAGTAAGATGGTTAAGGTTAGGGTTAAGGGTGGGTTGGGTTATTCTATGGGAATGGTTAAGTTTAGGCATGGATCTATTAGTTTAGGTAGATGGTTGTATTTACATCCGCTTCCGTCCCGATTCCGTTCATGATCTTGAACGGAATCTTTAACCTTGTGTCTCTTACCAGGATTTCTACAGTCACAGCAACTGGGTAGAAATGGGGAATGATCACCCGTTTACAAATCTGATTCAAGGTGGAGACAGTTTGGAGTATTCAACAGGTAAAAAAAAACATTGAAATATGGCATTTGTTATGGGTAGACGCACTTGCGTAGCAGGGCAGGTGTCTATCTAATGGGTTGTTAAGGCTGGAGTTTAGCCCGGGGAATGAAGGAATCTGATTTGTCCATTATTAAGTGCAATTAAAACAAATCCATAGTAAAAAAGCAAAATAATAACAAAATGAAATAGGAAAAACCGTGTGTGCACATATGTATGAATATAAAAATAACATTAGGGTCATTTAAGGATACTTTCCAAAAAATAGTACTGATAATTTTTTTCAACAAATACTTTTATATCTGGGTTCTATGGTAGTGTGATACAGATACAGTTTTTGTATTTTCTTTGTGATTTTGTATTGCTTCTCATAGTTTTTTATTTAATATTGTTTTGTTATTTGTTTTAGAACGAGAATAGAAGTACAGAGTGTACAAAGAAGCGTTTTTTTAGGATCTGCCATGACGATGGATTGACAACAGAGTTCAAAAAAATAAATAAAATACAAACAGTTACTGAACTAGAGGGATTTACTTTGCAATGTAATGTAAGTCAAAGCGAATTGGAGCAAAACTTCCACCTTCATTGAGCTAGCGTTAGCGAGTTAGCATTGTCCACTCCTTCTACAGGCTACAAGCTTATCACCCCAACGACAATAAACAAACAAAAAATGACTTCATCTTTTAGCCAAACACAGACCCACATGCCGTAACTGCTCTGACGACTGCACCGGCAACATTTTGGAAGACATTCTCAGCGAAAGACTTCTTACTTCCGGATATTTCTCTCCGCGGTCATCCAATATCAAGCCCACAGGTCAGATATTCAAGCATGCTTTTGTTGCTACCGTCTTGTATTCTCACGAGCCTTTTTTTCCCGTGCACATAAAGGGAAATGTAGTCATGGAGGCAATAAGGACACCACGACCCACACAGATGCCACCGGTGGAATAAACAAGGACAGTGTAAACTCCAGTCACGGACACCTCCATGAAAGAGCCGCTCGAGTCGCTACGGAGGCATCTATCGAACTCCTGGACGACGTACACGCAGCAGTCGGGCATAAAAACTTCTTACGGTAAAATAAACTAAGAAATAACCGTGGGAAGTAGTGTGCAAGGCAAACATTTATTATGTTCATGTGACACAAGGGTTTAACATGGTGGTGGAGGGTGGCTGGAAATGTATTCCTGGTTGCCACGGTAACTGCCGAACGTTAATGGTTTGGCTAATCAGAATGTTTGCAGTTAGCTTGGTATTTCACAGCAAGGAGGTCCTGGGTTCGATTCCACCTCCAGACCTCTCTGTGTCGAGTTTGAACGTTCTCCGTGTCTGCGTAGGTTTTCCTCTGGGTGCTCCGGTTTCCCCAACCAATGAACATAAGTAAAACTATACTAGTACAGACATTATCCAAAAAAAAAAAGATTTTAAAAATGTCTGACTTACACAATCACTCTTCAAAGTCACAGTTTAGATTATTAAACATGTATTATTTATTATAAAACTATTGAACAATTTAACCGGGAATGTCCCAATGAAATTTCAGAAATCTGGGAGTCCTGGCCTCAAACAAGGATTTATTTATTATGAATCAATTTATTATGGATTTTATTGATATGGGTAATATTTGGAACAGCTTGTTTCTTCACACAGAAGCATAATCTGAACATTCATTTACATCTTTTGTGTTTTTGCTTAAAATCGATCACACAATCATTGCATTTTATTTAATTTTCATGTTTTTATGATTTTTTTTTCTTCAGTATGATGGGAGTTGGTTCGGGCAAAGCCATCATCTTTGTGATTGACACAACACAAAGCATGGTTTCCGACATTGTCTTAATCCGGTTAGTCACAATTATGACAATACAGCAGCTGGAGGGGACTGAGAATGAGCCTTCTGTTTACATCCTGGTGCCTTTTAACGACCCCGGTAAAGCCATTTCAGTCACGCTTAGTTTAGCCCTCACTAATTAACAGCTAATTAAGTGATAATTAGTGTATAATGTACTGTTAATTATCTCTTAATTGTATTTATCAAGCAATTTAATAGTCCTTATTTTACATGGCCATATTCAACATCTAACTAACTGACAATTTCCCATGTGGGTTAGGGTTAGGTCAGCACTAGATCATAAACGGAATCGGGACGAAACCGGAAGCAACAATCCTACTTTCGAATTAGTTTTAGACTAATAAGTCCTTAAGTGGTGACTGGTTAAGTTTTAGGTGTCTGAGTGAGATGGTTAGGGTTAAGGCTGGGTTAGGGTTATTTTATGGGAATGGCTGGTTAAGTTTAGGCATGAATAGTAGTTTGTTATATTTACTTCCGCTTCCGTCCCGATTCCATGTATGATCTAGTGCTGACCGTTAGGGTTAGGGCTAGCCTGGTCGTACCACACCATAGTACAAATGACATTTCGTGCTAAGGTCTGGAGGTGCTCCATTGGGCTCCGTTTACAGGTGGGAGGGGTTAACTCCTTTTGCAGATCGAAACGATTGGATCTGAGTTTACCGTGACGTACAGTATGTAGTGCGTCCGAGTCTGTCGTTAGCATTTAGCATTTAGCCTAGCCATCTCCTTTGCCGCTAATGGAGCCCGTGGGGAGTAGCGCCACAATCTTTGCCAGCAATTATATTTGCTAAACATTCCTCTGGCTCCGGCTTCAATTTCTTGACAGAACCAGCCCGGATTTCTTTACTATCGTATTCGCAACTACAACCTGCCCGTTCGACGCAAACTCTTGACGTCACCAACAACTAACTACAGCACCCACCTCCCGCGCTCGCTGATTGGTCGGATGGAATTCAACCGTTCGTAATCGCAAACAGGGACCAGACCCAGACGTTACAGGCAGGGAAATGATAATTGAGCGGAGTGTACGGATGGCTAAGGCCAGGCTAGGTTAGGGTTTGAGTACACTAATTAGCACTTAAATAGCTGTAAATTGGTGAAAACAAATCTAGTGTTTGTACATCCATGTAGTTTGTTTCTTTGTATGAGCAGGTTTTGGACCAGTCACAAAAACCACAAACGGCAACGTTTTCATAAGCGCAGTTACAAATTTGACTGCAAATGGTGGTGGAGATTTACCTGAAAAGTCACTATCTGATTACAAGTAAGAACAAAAATGATAAAATATGAGATAATAGGTTAAATCAAGTGTTTTTTTGTTTTTTTCTGAGTACATTCTACAGTCTTAAAACAAGATATGCCAAAGGGACAAAGCCAAAAGTGTCTTGTATATCTTGTATTATTTTTTTTAAACAAGATTTATTTGGCAAATCTTGTTTTAAGGCACTTATTTTTCATATTTGTTTGCAGATAAGGAAAACAAGAACTTATTTTACTACAACCTTGTTAAACCATCCCAATTGTTTCAACGCCTTCTATCTTGTTAATGTCTCCATTCTGGGATCAATAAAGTCTATCTTATCTTATCCTGCAGCTGGCTCTTAGTGTTGCTCCTATTGGCTCTGAGCTTTTTGTTTTCACTGATGCTCCTCCTAAAGACACTCACTTGAAAAACACAATATTGGCCCTAATTGAAAGAACTCAATGCGTGGTAAGAAAGAATCCTCTTACTACATACAAAAGGTTTTTGTACTGTTTTTTTTCCTATACGATGTCTTTTCTTGAAGGTGAATTTTGTCATCAGTAACAATGCTTTAAAAGAACCAATTTACACGGATTTGGCGAAGGCTTCTGGAGGACAAGTTGTCACCTTAAAGAAAAGCGATGTTTTCTCAGCCCTCACACTCCTCCTCGATTCTTCTAATTCGGTATAGTAAACATACAGAACACACCACCTCCGTCCATAGTCAATTACGAGTTATTTTACTGATGGCTCTCTTCTTTATTAAAGCTTGAAAACAATGTATTGGGTTTTTTTGTTCAAATAAATAATATTTAATTCCCTTTACAATTAAATACTAATACTCTCTTAGCTCCTATTTCCCACGATATCTCTATGAGCTGAGCCAAAAACTGTCCCTCCAGCCCTGAAAACTAATACAAGACTAACAGGTACTCTGCAAAGTCCTCTCTCTGTCCCTGACTCAGACTGACTCACAATGTCGTTCAAAACAGTTTTATGAAAATGTGTACAAGATGAGGAAGGGCCACATAATTTTTGCTCCATAAATGGTAAAACCAGAGAGCCTGGTCTTGGTCTGGTCTGGTCCGGTCTCATCTCCTGTCATGCACTTTGACCAATCAGAGCGGAGGTAAAACGGGAGTTAGAGCTAGAGCCAAACGAGAAGAGTTTGTGGCACTAAAGTGTGGATTTAAAGAAAACTGAAGAATTTTAGAAAAAAAAAAGTTCAGGACAACAAGAGACTCTAAAATCTCCACAAAATCCGACCTTTGTGAAAGCTGTTGGTTCTCTGTCAGGTTCTCTGTCAGCTGAGGTCGAGCTGTTTTAGTTTAAATTGAGTTGTATGGGACTTCTTTCTGGGCAGCCCACGTGAATTTAGTCTGCAGTACCAAGGGTGCCCCCTGTGGCCATTGGTTGAACAGCCATAAACTAGTAATTCCCTATCCAGATACTATTATAGATCCATGTAAGCAACACTAAACACAATTATAAACATAAATAAAAACAAAAGTAATGCCATCCATTTTCTTCCCCTTAATCCATTTCTGGGTCGGAGAGCTGCACCCAAAACAAATATCCACACATATACACATCCTTCGCTGCCTGACCCATACTTTAGAGGCAGAGTTAAGACCTTATAATCTCTTGTTTCTTGATTGTGAACTTTGCATGTGGACTTCCTGCTGACTCTTTAAGGTGACGCTGTTACAAGCTGCGAGGAAGAGCTCAGACAACTTCATGTTCTCAGTGGCCGAAACAGAGACTGATCTGCGCCTCTTCATCACTGGAACCACAGACTTCACCCTCGTCAGTCCTTCAGGTGAACCCCTTTCTCCAAGACAAACTGTCCATTTCACACAGTTTTCAAAAAGTCAAAAAGGAGGTTTCCCAGGGCTACGACTCCTCATGTTGTTCTATAACAGCTTTTAGTTTTGAAAGCATAATTACTCATCATATGTACAGTATACGCATGGTTTTCATAACTTTGAGTTAAATTCAAAGCAACCATTTTCAAAGTCCTGGTCTGGTTCTGGTTCAGCTTGGTTTTCCACCAAAGAAGAGCAAGTGCTAGTAACCATAGCAACATAATCTTGCAGTTATATTCACCAGTTTTAGCACTTAATAAAAGCGAGTAAAGGTAAAAAAAAAACATAGAATTTGAAATGCTTACAATAAATCTGGTGAAAAAAACATTTTTCAGAAGATTTTCTCAGAATTCCCAGTTTTTGAATATGAGTTTTAACACTAGGATTCCCAGAATTCTGAAACAACTAAAACTCCCATTTTGACTGCTTCCATTCAAACCAATGAAAAATGTTCCAGAAAGCTTTTTTTTTATCATGTTCTTTTTCTTATCTTTGCTCATTTTTAAAAAAGTGCTAAAACTGGTGCCAACCTCTGCTATCCTCCACCTCCCTACTTGCTTCTTTGTTGAATAGGTTTAGTGTAATGTTGAGAGAGTAGTGAGAAAATAAAGTGAATGTTACTTCAGGAGTTGTTCAAGAGTCTTCAACTGGACCACTGACCACATCTAAACAAACCGTGGGAGACCTTTTACTTGTAAGGCTGACGAATGAAACAGGACAATGGAATATCAGACTGAGGTCCACAAACTCTTACACACTGAAGATCACAGGTGAGACTTACAGTACATTGCTTTTGGGACATTTCACAAATTGCTCTTGCCGGTAACTCTTCTTCTTTTCATTTCAGTTAGAAGTCCAGTCGACTTTTTCTTCAGTGTAATGCAACAGTCTGAATTGCGCTCAACTGGTTTGGCACCAGAGACCAACAAGCCTTCAGCAGGTAATAGAGAATTAAGTCATGTCGAATTGATCCGTCCAGGGGCACAGCTAGCCCCTTTTTAGGGGTGCTCAAGCACCCCTAAAAATATGTCTAGCACCCCTCAAATTATAGAACAAAAAATATATAAAAATGAAAAAAATATATATATATTACGGAATTTTAAACGCATCCAGGTTATTTATAAATACTGTTATTGTTTTGTAAAATTCGTTGTTACCATCTATTTAAAAATTTCTGGAGTCTTTCCATTTCATGCAGAGAACGCACCGCGAAGAAAAAAAAAAAGACGCTGGCGCGCACCTGCTCAGGTCCCGCTGCGTCTGCTTCTCTGACCTCATCTCTGTGTCTGTCTGTGTCTGTCTGTGCGCTGAGACTGAGCTACAGCGGTGTTTCCCGGTGACTTTCACGTTTACTTGGTTGGTAATTCATTTTCTATCCCATCTTTTCCCATAAACTTTATGAGAACAGTTCTGCTGCTAACGCTGTATTAAACACCTGTGCTCCGTGTGCGGCTCCGCGAGTGTCTGTGGCAGATCTAACATGGACAAGTCTGCCATAAAGTTCTCTTGAATTGAGTCATTTGGCGTCACATTTACTTATTTCCTGCTTGTCACACACAGTTCATGTTTTATATGGTATAAATTATGAAGCCCTAAAGCCCTTAGCTTTATACTAACAAATAAAACAAACCTAGCTAGCTCTGTAATGATATCTTCATCGCTGTCACTTGATGAAGTAGCAAAGTAAGTCTGTGTTGTGATAGCTTTGTTATATTTACAATATTGAATATAACTCCATACTGAAAGCAAAAAAACACATTTATACTGTAAATGTGTTAGCAAGAGTGGACTTAGCTGCCAAGATGGATATTAGAGCGTTTTTCAAAGGGAACACATCAGGTGAGGTTTGTGTAATTTTTAGGGAAATATTAAATAGTATAAAGGACAGTAATTGGCCTGAATTAGTCTTTGTGTCCTAAAATAACACACAGTGTTGGTCTGTGATCAGGTAAACAGATACTGCTGTGATGTCATCAGAGGATCAGAGCCTTTAGTTTGATCCATGTAATGCTGAATCAAATTAGTCAGAATACATTTTTTTGTGATCTGACCTTAAGTTTTAAGTTAATAGGTGCTATATTTATTTTATAGTGTACTTCATGCATATTAACTGTGTCTCTTAGCTGACAGCAGTTAAAGGGAAGGAGAATATTGATCAGGGGCAGAGTGAGCAAGAACAGCAGGTAAGATACTAACAACACAAATGTGACTAGTTTTTGAGGCTCTACTTTCCACCACTTCAGGATTTCACAGGTATCTGCAAAAAGAGAATGTTGACTTAGCACCGTGTGGAGCGGATCCTCTCAGTGTGGGTCTCCCGGAGGTTTCTCACTTTTTTCCCGCTGGGTTTTTTTGTAATGAGTTTTCCTGTGATGCAGGAGGGTTTGTTGGCCAGTTAGTGTCTAACTAGAAGGACTGTGATGATCCAGGACACATTAACATTCTACACCATGTATGGACATTATTCAACATTCATGGACATTGGTCTCTCCCTATGGACTAACTCATATTTGTATTTTTTGTGTCTTAACTGTTGATTCTCTGATCTGTGTTGGTGATTTCAATGGTTTTGAGAAGTCCTCTGAGATAATTTCTGTTGTGATTTAGGGCTATACAAGAATAATTTGCTGTTGTTGTTGTTAGCACATGCCTTAGTTTACAAAGATGCCATTATTGATTCCCTTAAAAAGAAACCAAGTGATGTCACGACTGCAAACATTTATACAAGATTCTGCTTGAGGCAAATGAGATTCCAGAACCTTCTTCAGGTAAACGAGCTAAGGCAAGAAAATTAGATGTTGTGGAATCCTCATGAAGGGCAAGGAGGGAAGGTGATGTCTGTGGATTATCAAAGGAAACTTTTGTTTCCTTGTTTGGATCGTACTGTTAAGGAAGTTTCTACCCAATGAAGGAGGAAACTCAAAGGTCCTTTGTCTGGTCAAAAGCGTAAGTTTATTGTTCACGCACGTGCGGAGAGCCAGCACATCCACTCCAAGGCAGCATGTCCCAGCTCTGGGGGCCAGAGCCCCGAGCTTCCTGTATACAAGACACACACGAAAGCCAGTCCCGCCCACAACAGATGGGAGGGGGGCCACCGGTGCAGGATGTAGAGAGTGCACACATACAGACCGATACATATGCAAGAGGTGAAAGGGGGCAAGAGTGATAGCCATTGTCTGTAGGTGTCGGGGGGGGCCCGGCTCCTTCCTGGCAGCAGGGGCATATGGATAGAAGCAGGCATACAGATTCAAGATACGAAAGACACAAGGGTGTGACAGACAGCAGGGGGCCCTCACAAAGCTCAGCATGGCGTCAGAAGGGCGTCTCTGCATTGATAAAAGGCCTTTGACGTCCGTGTATTTGCTGCGGCTGGTTTTATGTAATTACTCCAAAAACTGTCACCACACTCCCCTCTTTTGATAATTCAAAACCATTTTTGCATTAATCAGTTAAATACCAGAGGCATCGTAATCACACCACCTTCAAGCTTGAAACACTTAAATTATTGCTGTCCAAAGTGGACAAGAAAAGAAGCATGCTTGTCAATAAAAGAAAGAGCACATTATAATAACACAATGGATCCGGACAGCGATAAGAGAAGACAATATTAACATAATAAACACGGTCAGCACGGAAAGTAGTGTCAGTGTGGCCAGCATAACAGTCCAAGGGCCCATTCCGGTCTTAGCCGGGCTACGTTCGGTAGTCTTTTCCGCGGGAATACTCACGAGCAGTGCCGTCTCGCAGTCAGTGGCACCGCTCCCTATGAGCGTGTGTGGAGCGTTAGTGGTCATGGCGATGTTTGGTCTTGGAGCGGTAAGACTCTAATTGCGTTGAAGCCTTGGCCTCAGCACTCGGTTGGGCAGAGTGCTCGGGGTTTGGGGTGTGGAGACCATGGCTTGAGCACGCTCCAGATCGGCCAGGCCCAAAGCTCGTTTGGTGGGAGACCTCATGACAGCACGCTTCACCATGTGCCTCATCAGGAACTGTAGAGCAGCCCTCATCTCCACCTCCTCCGGACACACGGGAGACGAGACACCAGGGGGCACTCCAGCAGAGCTCAAATCTGCATTATGGCCAGAGGGAGCAAGCTCTGGAGAAATCTTTGGAATGGGCAGCAGCTCTGCATACTTGCTGCAGCTGAGCAGAGCGCTCAGGGCCTTCATGGCTCCCAAGCCTTGGGATCCGGGGGCTGGGGAGTTGGGCAGAAGGGGGGTCGCCTCGGGGACGCTGGGATTCTCTGGGTGTTGTTGTTGGCCTGCTTCACCGACGGTGGCCGCACGCCGGCCAACTTCTTCAGCGTAGGGAGCCGCGGATGGGCCTGGTCCGTCCGCGCCCTCGGTGTCCTCGTCTATGGCCCTCAGTGGCAGCCCCGCACGACAGTGGTTGGCGTGGATCCAAGTTGTCCTCTCCGCGACCTTAACGGCAGTGTCCGTCACCAGGAGGGCGAGGAATGGGCCGAGCCAGCGCTTGGACCGCCAGTGCTTTCGTCTCGTTTCCTTCACCAGGGCCCAGTCGCCTGCGCAGCCTGTGGCAGGGCGCTCCTGACCTGGGCAGAAATAGAGGACAAAAGTGCATTAATTTCCTTACAATAGGACAGCATGTCGTCATCACACAAAGAGGTGCTTGGCAGATCTCTGTTCGGGGGTCCCGCGCCCAACGTGGGGCTAGCGGCAGAGCTTTGAGTGCCATTCTCTCGCTCGCACGTGCCTCCGGACCAGGGGGCGTAACTGCAGTGTTTACGTATATCAATGCCCAGAAATTCACCCACTTCCTCAATGACTTTTGCTACAAAGTGACTCACCACCGCGTTGCTCGTGGCGTGTATGCCTGCAAATACTTCAGTCCATTTGGACCAGAGATCCGCCAGACCCAGACAGTATTACTTACCTTGGCATGGTGTGAGTTCAACAAAGTCCCTTTGGACATGTTGAAATGGGCGCAGGGGCGGAGGAGGAGCAGCCTGTTGGATACTTTTGGGACTTACCTGGGTTGTGCGCGGGGCATATAGCGCATGTTTGGCTGAATCTCTGTGCAAATGCCGTAAACCCCTTTGTATACCAATTTTGTGTGATTAAATCACACATCATCCCTCCTTTTGAGGCATGGTCTCGACCATGTGCTAAAATTGCAAACTGTCTGAAGAAATGCCGTGGTAAGCACGGTTTGCTGTCTGGTCCCAGCCACACACACCATGCCGTCGTTGAGCCCCATTCCCCTCCCACAGCAGCGTCTCTGCTGGAGTAGAAAATATCAACGTCTTGAGTGAGGTAGTGTGTGTGTGTGTGTAGAGGTGCGTATGCCGCTGCCTTGTCCGCGCGCCGATTCCCTGCAGAGATGGGATCAGTGGCATTAGTGTGGGCCTGGCATTTGCATACAGCGATCTCTAAGGGCAACATTACAGCTTTCAGCAGACGTTCAACCTGTGTGGAATTAAGAATTGGTTTACCATCAGATTTCATAAAATTGCGGTGTTTCCACAGTGCTTCCCAGTCGTGCACCACAGAGAAACCATAGCGCGTATCACAGAATAGGTTAACAGTTTTGCCCGCTGCCAGCTCACAAGCCCCGGTGGGCGCGACCAGCTCAGCGGTTTGTGCTGAATGGTAGTGGGGCAAACTACCAGAGTCTATAGTATCAAAATCAGAACACACAGCATAGCCGACTCGGTTCTTCCCAGTGTTGTCACGTGACGCGGCTCCGTCTGTATAAAAAAAATCAAGTCAGGATTAGTCAGAGGCACCTCTTTCAGGTCTGGCCTGGGAGTGCATATCTGTTCTATTGTGGCGATACAGCAAAGTGCCTCCCCTTCCTCTGGCGTGGGCAGCAGTGAGGAGGGGTTCAGCTGTGTGCATCCCTTCACCGTAGTTCAAAGAGCACCGTGTTGTACCCCAGCCAACGAGCCGCAGAAAGGCGAGAGGCCCTCTGCTCTAACAGGAT